GGGAGAAATTATAGAAATCAATACTTTTATTTAGCAAGGATGCTTTAAATTGATCAAATGTGATGATAAAGACATTTATAATGTTACAAAAGATTTCTATTTCAGATAAATGCTGTTCTTCTGAACTTTCTATACATCAAAGAAACCTGAAAAAAGTATACTCAGCTGTTTTCAACATAATAATAATAAATGTTTTTTGAGCAGCAAATCACAATAAAAATTCAGCTTTGAAATCACAAGAATAAATTACATTTGAAAATATATTCAAATAGAAAAGTTATTTTAAATAGTAAAGATATTTCAAAATTTTACTTTTTTGCTGTATTTTGGATCAAATAAATGCAGGCTTGGTGAGCAGAAGAGAATTCTTTATAAAATGTTCAAAATCGTTTGACTGGTAGTGTATATACAAGTAATACATTTTAATTTTAGTTTATTTTTCACAGTCTGGAGCCCTGGAATCATGCATTTCTAATTAGTTTGTCATTCTATCAGTTCCACCAGCTGAGAAGGTGGCAGTGTATTAGGACCTTGAAAAGATCAGAGGGGCCGCGAATAGCCAGGCCTGAGGAAGACTGGGAGCACTCATCATCATCATCATCATCGCTGCCCTACACAGCAGGGGCATCACAGGACACTAAAAACATGTACACTAGAAAAACTCTACACCACATGTACACTACCCTACAAAAGTCTGAGGTCAGGAAGATTTTTAAAAGAAAGAAATGAATACTGTTATTCCGCAAGGACGCATTAATTTGAAAATGACAGTAAAGACATTTATAATGTTACCAATAATTTGGCTCTTTTGAACCTTTTCTTTATCAAAGAATGTATCACGGTTTCCACAAAAAATATTGAGTGGTACAATTGTTTTTAATATGGTTAATAACAAGAAATGTTTCTTGAGCAGAAAATCTGCATATTAGGGGCCGTTTACACGACAACGTTTTCAGCCAAAAATGGGAAACTTTTTATGTGTTTTGCCTGTTCGTTTACACGACAACAGCGTTTTGGGGACTGAAAACGCATATTTTTGAAAACAGGTTTCAAAGTGCAAGTTTTTGAAAACACCACCGTTGTCGTTTCCGTGTAAACACCCAAAACGGGAATCTTTGAAAACGGTGACGTCATGCGCGTGCGCAGTACGTGTTAGGTATGCAGACAGCACCAACTACTGGCCTGGCATACGTAATATAGCGTTTTTGGCCATTTTCGCGGATATGTGTAAACGCAAATCGTTGTGAAAACGTTGTCGTGTATACGTGAAACTTTTAAAAAAAAACAAGGGAAAAATATTTCTGTTTTGTCGTGTAAACGTAGCCTTAGAATAATTTCTGAATGATCGTGTGACACTGAAGACTGGAGTAATGACATTACAGGAATAAATTACATTTTAAAATATATTTAAATATTACTAATACTTCCCAATATTACTTTTCAAATAAATGCAGCCTTGGTGACCTTACTGACCTCAAGCTTTTGAATGGTAGTGCAAACGCATTCACAGATCTTCTCTGCTTTGAACATACTGACACAGGAAGAAATATTACTGTAGGTCAGAGATTAAATATTCATTTAAAGATGTGAGACCGTACAAGGAATGTGTTGCCGCAGTGGCCGCAGACCACGCGCATGCCCTCAGGCTGGACTGGCAGAGCTGGCTGGGCGGGCTGCTCCTCTGGGATCACCATCACAGGACTAAGGTTGATGATCCGTCTGCTGGGGGCCCATAAAAACAATGTCAGTTTTTCACTTTCTACATATTGTAAGTATTATATTTAGTATGCTATTAAGTATGTATCTTGTTTGATAACCCTAACCCTATCCCTAAATTATTAATATGATCAAAACCCTGTTGTACAGTACCTACTACATGCTGTCTGTCATCTGATTAATAGTTTATAAATTTTTAGAAAATAAAAGGCCTTTCAGTGTAATTGTAAAAAAGCTTGTGGTACTTGTGTCTTTTAGCTGAAAGTGGCAAAATCCTAAATAATTTTTATATTGTTAGTAATATTTCAAGATGGACACTTACTGGACTGAGGTTTACTTGATTATCTATACATCTTTTTTTTTTTCCCGAAAAATCATCATTGTATTATATTGCATTATATGTTTTGCCCCCACAATAAAAACTACAGAGCTTTGATCATAAAACTAAGAATTTAAAAACCATCTAAGACTAAGAATACTGTGAGATATAGCGTGACAACTGACATTTACATGCATTTTATGTAAGCAGTCTATTATACAGTTATAAAAATCTCACTGATTTACATTACAAACTATCAGAATTTCATCTTACTTTTTAGCCATATAAGAATCAGCAACTGGAACAAATTGCATATTTTTGCTCAGTTTGGGCCTCAGAATAAAACTGAGAGAAATTAGATGTTTTTTCTTCCTCAAGAATGAGCAGCATCTTTGCTCAATTTTTCATTTCTTTAAAAAACACATCTTACTGACACCATTCACATGCACTGTATTATACTATATGAGCCATAAACGCATCAATGACACATATGCAAACTTTTACTTTTTTTATATTTAGGTAAAGGCTCAATCAGCTTTTTCACTTCAGAAATTAGATTTTTTTCTGACTATTATTTCATATGTCAGGCTTTTTACAGTGATTTCACATAATTCTCACAGCTGTTCTTTCACTACAATAATTCTATAGATGCTCAGACTGCTTTGTAAAAGCATATGAAATGTTTTGACAGTGCTAAGTGCAAACTCAAAACAGCACTGCTTGTTTGAGCGTTTATGGTAATGCACATCCGCAGTAATACTGTTGCAGATCTCATAACACATGCTGACTAAATGACCCTCTTAAGTGTGTCTTTAACACTTACCAGTTGGGCCGAGGGCATCCTATCCTCCTAGACGTGTCTTTACAGATTAGCAGGCAGTTGCAAGGACATCTAACATACTTCTTTCCTGTTGGTGGATTTTTTATAGGCTGTTAAAAAACAGACAAATCATGTTTCAGACGGGACCATGTAATAATATGCATGCCTTAATATAATAAATCTCCCTTATGATTCTGAATTTGCTTAACTGCTCTTGCTTAAGCATTCTTCTGCAAGAAACCAACAACTCTTTATGTAATAATTCTATTATTATAGGGACTAGTCTAGTCTGGCAACCTTAATGAATCTAGACAGAGCAACCTTTTAATACATCTTATTGAGGTCAGGTCTGCATAGGAATTTATGAAATCTGAATCGAGCTGAAGGTTTAATGTAATGCCACACATACTGTACTGTATATACACTAAACCAATATGAAATAGAGCTGTGTGAAGCCCTTTAAAATCAAACAAGATGGGAAACAAAACATCATGATTTTTGCTGTTATGTGAATCAGGTGACTCTGCAGTTCAGATTAAGCATCCACTGTTCATGTGAAGTGTTTCTTATGCAGACAATTCAATTACATTGAAATTCAACCCTCTTGAGCACACAACACTTATGGGTATGTACGTGGATCCTTCATCCCAAACACAATTACTTTTAGGCTCTATGAGGCAGTGAGGACTATATTGTGGACTAAATTGATCCATTATTCACTGATAAACTTCACCTCCACTAAAGCTTGTGTCTAGTCTGCATTCACACCCAGATTCAAAACTTGTGTTCTCAACAGCTGCAAATACTTTTGTGACTCTAACATTTTTGAATCTGAATATCAACGCAGCAATGACATTAAGCTCAGCAGAGGCGAAATGTCAAAGGAGACTAAAGAGACAAAAGAGAGCAAATTTGAGCTGTTTATGGTTGTCAGTCTATAACCCTATTCGCACGGGATTAGTATTATCTGGGGACCTTGTGTGATTTTGAAATTACCCCTTCCCCTGCCCACCCCCCACATCTGAATTTTGTGTGGTGCATTCGCACGGGATAAGCGAAGCTTGTGATTTTACTCGAATTTACTGACTTATCTCCCGGATACCCGGATGTCAAGGCTTTGAGAGTCCCGTTCTATGGTCCAGATGGATTTTAAAAAAGAAACTAATATAGTTTTGTGTGCTGTGTCATTTACATTTCACCAGGTTAAAATAATACCTCAAGCTTTATGCTTGATTTATTTGTAACACATTAACCTCAAAATCTTTTCAGCTTTCTCTTTCTGCAAACTGTATGGTGTAGCGATATGATGACAGCACCCAAAATACTATCAAACACTCTAACGCAGCTCCATTCTTCGCGGTAGATGGATAAAAAGGCGCACAGGAAACAAAAACATTGAAAAATGATATGCGACCCGCCAAATGCTGGCCGAATCACAGAGATGCCGATTCGCACGGGACTAATATTATCACAGGACTCGGTGTTCGGCGAAATATTGTAGGTCATTTGCAGGGGAAGTTTTACTTTACAAATTACAGACATGGCTGATTCGCACAGGATTAAGATCACAGACAACCTCAGCAATTATTACAAATGACTGGAGGTCACCAGGAGGTCACCATAAATATGGCTCAATCAATGAGAATTTAAAGTTGTAACAATCCATTTTAGAGAGTCTGTTTTCAGCCTTTGTTTCTAAATCAGGTGTATTATAACGTGAAACTTAATTTGATTACATTCTTTTTTCTTTTTACATCCATCAAGTTCCAAATAAAAAGATAAATGAGATGAAGATTAGTTACAATCAACCATAAATATGGCTCAATCAATGAGAATTTAAAGTTGTAACAATCCATTTTAGAGAAAATTTTAACGTGAAACTTAATTTGATTACATTCTTTTTCTTTTTTTTTTTTACATCCATCAAGTTCCAAATAAAAAGATAAATGAGATGAAGATTAGTTACAATCCCACTAAAGCTTGTGTCTAGTCTGCATTCACACCCAGATTCAAAACTTGTGTTCTCAACAGCTGCAAATACTTTTGTGACTCTAACATTTTTGAATCTGAATATCAACGCAGCAATGACATTAAGCTCAGCAGAGGCGAAATGTCAAAGGAGACTAAAGAGACAAAAGAGAGCAAATTTGAGCTGTTTATGGTTGTCAGTCTATAACCCTATTCGCACGGGATTAGTATTATCTGGGGACCTTGTGTGATTTTGAAATTACCCCTTCCCCTGCCCACCCCCCACATCTGAATTTTGTGTGGTGCATTCGCACGGGATAAGCGAAGCTTGTGATTTTACTCGAATTTACTGACTTATCTCCCGGATACCCGGATGTCAAGGCTTTGAGAGTCCCGTTCTATGGTCCAGATGGATTTTAAAAAAGAAACTAATATAGTTTTGTGCGCTGTGTCATTTACATTTCACCAGGTTAAAATAATACCTCAAGCTTTATGCTTGATTTATTTGTAACACATTAACCTCAAAATCTTTTCAGCTTTCTCTTTCTGCAAACTGTATGGTGTAGCGATATGATGACAGCACCCAAAATACTATCAAACACTCTAACGCAGCTCCATTCTTCGCGGTAGATGGATAAAAAGGCGCACAGGAAACAAAAACATTGAAAAATGATATGCGACCCGCCAAATGCTGGCCGAATCACAGAGATGCCGATTCGCACGGGACTAATATTATCACAGGACTCGGTGTTCGGCGAAATATTGTAGGTCATTTGCAGGGGAAGTTTTACTTTACAAATTACAGACATGGCTGATTCGCACAGGATTAAGATCACAGACAACCTCAGCAATTATTACAAATGACTGGAGGTCACCAGGAGGTCACCATAAATATGGCTCAATCAATGAGAATTTAAAGTTGTAACAATCCATTTTAGAGAGTCTGTTTTCAGCCTTTGTTTCTAAATCAGGTGTATTATAACGTGAAACTTAATTTGATTACATTCTTTTTTCTTTTTACATCCATCAAGTTCCAAATAAAAAGATAAATGAGATGAAGATTAGTTACAATCATATTCAAAAGTTTGAGGTCAATAAGATTTGTAATATTCTTGAAAGAAGTCTTATATGTTCACCAAGGCTGCATTTATTTTATAAAATACATCAAAAATAGAATTATTGTGAAATATTATTACAGTTTAATACAACTGTTTTCTATCTGAATATATTGTAAAATGTAATTTATTCCTGTGATGGTAAAGCTGAATTTTCAGCATCATTACTTCTACTACAGACTTTAGTGTCACAAGATCCTTCAAAACTAATTATAAATAAAACATGCTGACTTGCTTCTCAAGAAACATTTCTTATTATTATGTATGTTAAAACATTAATGTTGTGCTGCTTAATATTTTTGTGGACACCACAATACATTTTTTTCCAGGATTCTTTGACGAATAGAAAGTTAAAAAGAACAGCTTTTCTTTGAAAATAGAAATATTTTTAGTACTGCAAGTCTTTACTGTAATTTTTGATCAATTTAATGCCTCCTTGCTAAACAGAAGAATTAATTTCTTTCAAAAAGAAACCTTACTGACCCCAAACCTTTGAAGGATATAGTGTATATTCCATTAAAGTATTTAATTCACTGAATTAGTGAAATGTAGGCCTTACCACATGATTCTTTAATATTATTCGCCATTGAATTTTTGGTATATAATAAATACCATAAAATGTTACCATAAAAGTATGCATTAACTTGTGATACAGGCTTTTAAAGGGATAGTTCACCCAATGTAAATGTCATTAATTAATTAATTGCGCTCAAAAAGTATTCTGGTAGCTTCGTAAAATTACGGTTGAACCCCTGATGTCACGTGGATTATTTTACCGATCTCCTTGCTACGTTTCTGGACCTTGATCATGGTAGTACCCTTGCTGTCTATGGGAGGGTCAGAGAGCTGTCAGAATGCATCAAAAATATCTGAATTTGTGTTCTGAAGATGAAACAAGGTCTTACGGGTCTTGTTCGGCGTCCTGGGGTGTTACAAAGTATTTGTGAAATCTAGCTAACAACATATATATATTGTGTGTTGGAGTGGTCCAGATGCTACACAGTGATGCCATAATAGAACCATTTTTGGTTCTTCAAAGAACCTTTCAGTGAACAGTTCTCAAAAGAACCAGTTTGTCTTAGTGTGAAGAACCCCTTTCCACTATAAAGAACCTTCTGTGCAATGGAAAGATTCCATGGATGTTAAAGGTTCTTCATGGAACTATAGATACCAATAAAAGAGTGTATTGTTTGTTACAGATTTTTATAAGCTAAGTTGAGTAGTGCAAGATACAGCAACAATTACATACTGTATTACCAGTTTGGGTAAGTTAATAATGTACAGTCAGCCGGTCAATATTGCAAAATAAACCCAGACAGGGTGATCAGGTTTTGCATCACCCTGTCTGGGTGAGGTTTATTTTGCCATAATGACCAGCTCAGTTCCATTACTCCATGTATTATTCCACATTACTACAAGGCTATTTATCAAATATATAAATAAATGGGCTTGAATTATTGATTTGAATTCAAATTATTTCATTACGTGAGCAGAAAGAGACCACAGAACAATAATAGACATGAAACTATAGCACAGTTATGCACTAATTTGTTTTCCTGACATAAAGGTCAGCAATTTAGCAGTCATTATAAAACATATTTTACTTTGATTGACCAACAGAATGACGTATTCTAGAGAGCCGTGTAATAAGCAATGATAATTATTTTGTTGATAAAACCTCAGAAATGAATCAAACACTACAACTGCGTCTAGACCGTGCTTCTTGTCTTTAGAGCTAGAATCCACTAATATATGTCATATTTCTATTATAAATGTGTCTCGCTTTGAGTCCCATTCAACGGACCCAAAAATGCAGATTCATTGTGTTTAGCAATAAGTGCATCCTATTCACACTTTCAATTACTCCCTCCATTGTACAGTAGCTGGGCCATCAGCCAAACCCTGCACTCAGTCTCCGCTTGTTTTCAATATCACTGAAAGAGTTCAGAGCTCAGCCCCTGCTTATTCTCAGTGAAATTAAGACATGTTCCTCCTGCTGTCTGTCACTTATTCTGAGGTCAC